ATTCCCTAAAGAGGTTCTCTTTTCCTAATTACTTACTTTTATGTTTCAAAACAAAAAACACACAGCGAACTTACAAAAAATATAGATGGTCATGGTGGTCCCTCCTCTTTTTATCCGGGCTTGGGACCGGCTATGCATAACATAGGCAGAGTTACCCACCCACCCTCCAAAGTGAGTAAGACAATCCTTAATTTTGAGAGAGAGCAAATTTGCTCTCCCCTACTAGTAAGGATTGCTTACCCTTGAGTAGCATTAAGCAACAAGGATTTCCCCTTGCATAGGCTTTTTGTATCAAATGAGCAAGGCAATCCTTGCTTTTGATGGAGAGCAAAACTTGCGTTCGGACCACTAGCAAGAACTGCCTTGCCCCTTGAGTAGTCTCTAGTAAGCAAGGTTTTCCTTGGTTTTGAGGGAAGACCAAATGGCTCTCCTCCACTAGCAAGGATCACCTTACCCCTTGCTAGCTTTACATTTCTATTAATTGAGCTACTCTTCAATTTTAGGAGCGAAATATGCCCTTATAGCTAGCAAAAAAATGCTTTGCCAATTGCATAGCGTTATCTTTGTGCCAAGTAAACAACCCAATCATTGTTTTTGATGGAGAGCAAAATTTGCACTCGTCCACTAACAAGGATTGCCTGAGTAGCCTTAAGTGATCAAAGATTTCCTTGATTATAAGAAAAATAGGCAAAATCCTATCGCCTTTGTGGAGGGGTCAATTCTCCACAAGCGAGGATCATGCCTAGCCATGCGGGAGCAAAGTTAGAAAAAATCTGTTACTTTTCAGGGATTAATCCTCCAAGAGCAAAGATTGTCATTTGCCTAGGCAAAATTTTGTGCAATGTGCACAAGACATTTCTTGCATTCATGGGAGGTAACTCTCCATGAGCAAGATTGCGTTGCCCCTTAGTAACCTCAAGTGATCAAGGATTTTTCCTTGATTATAAGAAAATTGAGCAGAATCCTATCGCTTTTGTGGAGGGGTCAATTCTCCACAAGCGAGGATAATGCCTATCCATACTTTTGAGCAAAGTGAGAAAAACTCCCTTACTTTTGGGGAGTCAATCCCCAAAGAGCAAGGATTGCCATTTGCCTAGCCAATCTTTTGCGCAATGTACAGAAGACTTTCGTTGCATATGTGGGAAGTCAACCTTCGACGAGCAAGATAATTTTGCCACTTGTCTGATAGGCACCATACTTTTGGGGACAATGCCCAAGTATAATGCATCGTTGTATGAAGCATGGATTCAATTAGTGCAACATGTACACCACTACCTGTTATCATGAAACAATTATCGTGATAAGAATTGGCATCATATTTCATAATAAATAAAGAAAAGTGCAATTAAGTTAACTAATAAGTATGAACTATGTAAACCCTGCTATTTCACTAAAGCATTGTCACAAAAACAACGTAGAGATTCATTGGGGGTTATCCAGTATACATAGCAAGTAGAAAGTACAACCATGCAACAAAACTTCACACTCTGAAAGATTAAAGGATCAACGCTATCAAAAAGAAGAGATAGCTCCCTCATAAAGTAGCCAAACTACAGAAACAAAGTAACACTCCCAGACATATAAAAAAGAATGAAATGATTGCTTAATCATTACTCAGATTAATCATAACACTAATTTGTGGTAGGAAAATGACCCAATAGTGGAGATCATAAATAAGTATAAAAATTTGTGAAATCAAATGTGTATCTGTTAGCACCAACAGTAAAGAAAGATGCTATTTCAGTAAGCACGTGCATAAATATTTGGAAACCACAGTGGAAATGAAAAGGTTTTCAGAATGGATAGTTGCAGGTACAAATTTATGGATTCGATGACAAAACAAGGGAAATTATGACTCGCTAAGCTCACAGAATTGACAACATGTTTTGCAAATAAAGAAAGTCCAACAATGTTATATTGATAATAATGAACTACTGTATGTAGACTCAGATTCATTATGACCTAGCTTAACTCTGACACTTATTTGTGGTAGGAAACCGACCCAATTAAGTGCGGATAACAAACAAGTTGGATAATTTCTGTGATCAAACTTGTGCAGAAATATTTAGAAACGAGAATGAAAAGATATTCATATACAGATAGGTGCAGCACAAATTAAAATTATAGACTCGATGAGGAATGATGGGGAAAAAAATCATTTGCTCGCTGAGCTCGCATATGATTCGACATTCGAGAACGAAATGGGTTCATCAGGCACTTACCACGGCTCACCGTCCGTGAAGAGGGGTAGGACGAGCGCAACGCCGGCGTCCGGATGGCAAATTAATCCAGCCAAGTGCCAACACCTTGAGGAGTGTGGGCGAGGTGAGGTGGGGAGAGAGGCATGGAACTGGAGGTCTTGGGGAGAGCGCTCGCGGTGTGGGACGATGAAGCAGGGAGACTGGACGGCGAGGACCAACGCGCTAGTCGGCAGCATCGCCGCCGGCTGGTTTGATGCGGCAAACGGTCGGCGCGGATCAGAGTTGGGTGGGTGCGATGCTTGTTCCTCTGTCTCAACTCTCAAGTGTTAACCAACCTAAGTATCCAAGTCATGCTTAAGAGCCACTCTGTACTTTGCAATGCCGTCGTTGAGATATTCAGGAGAGTGGCCAAAAAATCAAGCTACTACCACATGCTCATATCTTTGCCAACATTCTGGATGTTTCTTTTTTTCTTAGTGGCGTTTATGGATGTTTTCTGCATGAAAAAAAAGTGATACCCACTGTGCACGCACACACACAAAAGTAACAATGGATTTTTATATATGATATTTATAAATCCCCCAAAATCAACTTGCGCAAGATCTTTGCATTGGAGGATTACTCGTTTCATGGAGGGTTTCAATGGCTTCTATATTTCAATCTACCATTTTAGACATTTATAATTCTTCTTTCTTTAGGTGGGTTACTATTATTATTAGATGGATAATTCTTCATTTTTACTAGGTGGAATTTTAACCGCTCTGAGTTTTATAGTTAGCTAAAACCATCAAGCCATGGTATCTACTTAAAAAAACCTTTCTAGTTTTAACTCTGCATTTTTTGGACATTATGATAACGGTTTATCAACGCCCTTTAGCAATAGAGGGATATAGGTACTGAAAGAGTCAAATATGACGATAGATGGCCAAAGAACAACACTGGTGAGGATAGCCGATTGTGATGCCAGTGCGACCGAGATTAAGATGGACATTATGATAATTTCTCAACGCCCTTTAGCAATAGAGGGATATAGCTACCGAAAGAGTCAAATATGACGGTAGATGGCCACAGAACAATACTGATGAGGATAGTCAATTGTGATGCTGGTGCGATGGAGATTAAGATGGAGGTCGCTCAATATCTATAGTTCTCTTTAATTTACGTACGTGGTACCCTTTGTCGGCGAGCATGTTGGAGTTGGAGTAACCAGGCGGGCATCGTAAGCCGGGTCTGAGAATCTTAGAGCATCTACATCCATACATCCAACCGGGTACACCAAATCCGACCCCTTAAACATCATGGCCGTGGTCAGACCCGTAATTAACATTTTCACAACCATATACCACAATTATGAATCCTCTAATCGTACAATTACATGCATGAAACCTAATTCTAGGCAGAGATCGTGCGGCGGCTGGCTACACCCGCCCAAGTGTTGGTGCGGTCGTCGGTGAGGTAGAGTATGACATGAGACACACCGGCTCACAGGACTCGAGGTGCCACCATCTCTCATGCCCTACTCTTTCCCGTCGGAGCCCGTCGCCATCACATCACCGATCAAAGTGAGGTCGATGATGGATTCGTCATGGTCGGAGGCCGACGCGGTTGCGGCCCCCGAGGTTGCCGGCCACCCATATCGGTGCAAGAGAGTGAGACTTTGCCTCGCCGACGTCCGCTGCAAGGACTGCCTTGCCTCCCGCCCCCTCTGCCTCGCACGGTGGGTATGCCGCACCATATTAACCTCCGACGTGGACATGCCACGTAAGGCCTCGTTAGCAGCGCTACAACGTAGGGGTTGCGCCTCGACGACGCTTGGACGCCTAACGGAGTGCACTGCCTCCGCGAGGCAGAGGCGACGCGCCTCGCCCCAGATCCAAGCATCATTTGGGCGGACGCTATGAATTCTTGCTGGATCAAGCTGACTGTTGTCGGGCGTTCACCTTGCAGGCGCGGCGAAGCGCAATGCTGTGGTGGGGGCCGGCCACCAGCATCTTTTTTTTTGGTGGAGAAGGCAGCAGCGGCCGGGTGGACGATGCCAGCAACTTTTTTGAGGTCCTATAACGCACACGTAGCTGCGCTTGGGCCAGGCCAAGAATAGTGTTCGCCCCTGTCCCCCATTGCTCTCTTTTTTGCGTCTGAACGGAAATCATTAGAAAAAGACCAGCAGCTCCTGCTCAAAAAATATGACCACCTGTTTTTGAAAGATTTCAAAAGTAATAAATTCAAAAATATTCACGAATTATTATAATTTTCCAAACTGAATAAATGTTCATGAGTGAAAAATGTTCAATAATTGTTGACAGTTTTTTAAAAATGCTCGAAAATTGAATTCATGAATTTTTAAAAATATTCATGAAAAGTAATAATATTCAAATCATGGTCGGTTTAAACGTGAAAGGAAAGTATTGAGAAAAGAAAGCTTCGAGCAAAGAAGAAAAATGAACAATAGAATAGAATCAAACAAATGAAAAGAAACAAGAAAGTTGACAAACCGGCAAAAAAGCATAGAATTAAGAAAACAATACTAATTCAGAAGAAAGTTGACAAACCGGCAAACTTTTTATTCCATTGGCAAGCTAGGACGATACATCATACTAGCTCGTTCGACACGTACATGCGCATGAACACATCACGCCATGATGAAATCCAATTATTATACTGATGATGAAAACAAAGAGCAAACACAGAGATGCATCGTCTCTGGGCTGCTCAGTACGTAGTCGCAGCTAGCACATGCATCCGGACACACGCATGAGCGCGTACGTGCATGATATGCATGCTTGATTGATAGTAGTAGTATTAAGCATCAAGGGATGCAACGCCGCCGGCCCCGGCACAGAAGCGGCCGCATGCATCGCCGCAGCGCTCCACGACGGCTTTCGTCCCCACGCTGCCGACATCGATAACTGGTGCTACAACATAAATACAGTACGACGCGTTAGACGCAATTCAATTACAATGAAGCTTTTATCTAGCTATCTACTCTTTCCGGCACGATGTATCTTAACAAATGTAAGACAATTAATTTAGGACAGAGATAATATTTGTTTACCGTTGCGCATGCTGTCACAGACGATGGAGGAGCACCTCAGCGTGCAGCTCTCAACCTCAACGGCTGGCAAAAAGAAAAAAAAAACAAGAGAGTTGATATATTACTTGTAACTTCAAATCATGGACGAACGTAACGAGAATTAACATGCACGGAGCTCGATTGGTGGTGGCTTGCTTACCGTTGGTTGTGAGAAGGTCGAAGGTGGAGCTGTTGGCAAGAAAAAGTCTGGGGTCGGCCGGGGTGGGGCATTGCCTCGGGCATCTGCCGCTCGTAAGCTGCACACAGCAGCACATCTCCGCGCAGAACGGGGTGGGGCCGTACTGCGTAGTGCAGGCGGCGTAGCAGTGGCTCCCTATCTTGTCCTTGCAGCAGAACTTGGCGTCCGCAGCTCCGGTGGCGGCGGCCGTCGGATCTGCCTCGGCCAGCGGCACCAAGCTCCCTACGACGAGGACCGCGCCCAGGAGGAGGATCACAGCCCGGAGACTACCCTTGCCTGCTTCCATGGCGTACGGATCGATATGTGTGGTGATGGTGGATTGGTGGTGAAACAAGAATCGCGTGGACCGGTCCTATTTATAGGAGATGATCGTTGGCGTATCCACCATTCGTACATCTGATTGATTGATGAGTGTGCATCCATGGTACACAGATCTAGTCATGCCATGTCTTCATCAACATAAATGTACGTACGTGTAGGTTATCTCACACCTACTCAGTGCACTCCCATGTGTCATGTCCATGCTTCATCCGATTTGGTTGGTGACCGATTTTTTTGTCGTTAATCACCTTCATTGTCATCTAATTGAATATCTTGGCCCGTTTCAATATTAACACTACAACACTTCTTGCCCTTGGGCCGATTCCGTGCCTACATACTCGAGGAACTGTCCATGCTTGAGGTATCTACAATTTAGAAAAATATTTTTTTCTACGAAAAACCCCTCTCTGCTCTACTCTCTCGTCTCTCCTATGTTTTGCCTCTACCTGTTCCCCTGCGGCGGCGGCTTAGGGTTCTCCAGTCCTCCGGCGATCTTCCCGTGAGTTATCATTCTTCTCTGCCCCGAATCCACTATTGGCCTCTGTCTCTTCTCGGGCTGATCCAGGGGGTAGCTTGCCTGCCTTCCCGGCCTTGGTTGGACGAGGACGATCTAGGGTTTTGGGCAGAATAGTCATATTCCGGATCTCGTCCATGGCGAGTCCTATTGATGGAAGTGGTTCTCGTGAAGCGGGAGTAGACGGCGCGGGAGACATGCTGGACCGCCTAACTCTTCAGGATGACGAACTTGGCAATCTAGCGTGGGATGGTGAGATTGATGCAGCAGAGGTAAGGCCCAAGTGGCTGGCTTTGTGCCGCCTCTTGACAAACAAATCCTTTAGTCAGAGTGCTCTTATTGATGACATGAAGGCTGCTTGGAACCCGGCACAGCCGGTGGTGTGGAGAAGAAAAAACCTGAATCTTTTTTAGATCCAATTCAATTGTCTAGGTGACTGGAATAAAGCCATGCATAAGGGACCTTGGGATTTCAAAGGCCACGCCTTGATAATGGCTAAATATGATGGCTTTTCTAAGCCGGAAAAAGTCAAGCTTGATAGGCTAGAGCCTTGGACTCAGATCCATAGGCTCCCGGATGGGGTTCTCAACAGTAAGAGCTTCCTGCAAAACCTTGCGAGTCGCATAGGTGAGGTTCAAGAAGTGCAAGTAACTCTCCCTAATGGCTTTGTGGGGGAGTTTATTAGAGCTCTGGTCAAATTGGATGTCAGCAAGAAACTGACAAGAGTGGTTCAATTTACAAAACCCGGCGACACATAAAAGTATAGAGTCAAGTTTGATCTGCTTGGCGTCCGCAGCTCCGGTGGCGGTGGCCGTCTGATCTGCTTGGGCCAGTGGCACAAGCTCCCTAGGACGAGGACTGCGCCCAGGAGGAGGATCACAGCCCGGAGACCACCCTTGCCTTCCATGGCGTACATGCAGCTTAAACTTGGATCGATATATGTGATGATGGTGGTGAGACAAGAACCGCGTGGATCGGCCCTATTTACAGGAGATGATCCCTGGCGTATCCACCGTTCGTACATTTGATTGATTGATGAGTGTGCATCATGGTACAGAAATCTAGTCATGCCATGTCTTTATCAACATAAATGCACGTACGTGTAGGTTAACTCCCACCTATTCAGTGCACTCCCATGTGTCATGTCCATGCTTCATCCGATTTGGTTGGTGAGCGATTTTTTTGTCATTAATCACCTTCATTCTCGGCTAATCGAATATCTAGTCCATTTAAATATTAACATTACAACACTTCTTGCCCTTGGGCCGATTCCGTGCCTACATATATACTCGAGGAATTGTCTATGCTTGAGGTCTCTGCAATTTAGAAAGTTATTTTTTCTATTTAGATATAAGGCTTTCGCTCAGTATTAAATTACTAGTGCCCTTAATAGCCAACCATACAATCAAAAACTAATGCCGCATATACCAGCTTACAATTTAAGTGCTCTCAATAAAAGCAGAAAAGAGACACAAACTAGTGAATTATAGAAGGAACTAATGCTACTCTCACTTGGTGAACAATTCATGTTACTTGGTGAACAATTCCTAGATACCTTGACGTTCCAAACAAACTTGATGAGAACACTCAAAACATGAGATTGTGCTGAGAACATTGTCACAGCTTCCAAAGCTTGAGCGTTGAGGTAGAGATCATTCTCTTTCGTAATGTGGGTTGTATATGATCCAATGGAGGTTATGCCCTAGAGGGGGGGGGGGGGTGTTAGGGTGAATAGACCTAACACACACATACATACATACAAATGGTTGACTTCTAGGGTTTGACAGTCTTAAACAAATTCTAACTGGTCCTAAACACTTAAAAAGCAAGCAACACAAGTAATGCAGTGGACAAAAGTAGAAAGAAAGTACGAGCTTAGGGTTGAGAGATACATACATAGAGTGACTCAAAGATGTTTTTCAGTGGTTTAAATAATTGGCTCTATCCTACTCCATGTTGATGGAGGCTTTGAACTGAAGTGGTTCTAGGATCACAAGGTTATCAATTGCGTCGCGCACCAAGTGCAATCAACCTATTTCACCATGGCTTATCAACCTTCCATTGTCAAGCCTCGCTAAGGGGTAGATCTTTTTGAACTAGGCAATCTAATTGCCCTCACAAACTCTTTATTCCTTCACTCATGGATGAAGGCTCTCAAGTGACTCTAATTAACCATCTAGGAGGCGCACATCCTCCAAGAGTAACAACCAAAGCAAAGTCACTTGGTAGAACTTCCTCAAAGGATCTTTAATCAATGCTCTTCTCAAGAACCCACAAGATCTCTTTCTCACAATGTATATGACCGTTGTAAAAGTTAGTAGCGTCGAGTGTAGGAGTTCAAGAAGAAGGGATGAGTTATTGGCCTTCAAGGAATCAAAAAAATGTTCATGGAATCACCCATCACCTCTCCAGTCTTCTTGCCTAGGAGATATCTTAATATGTCTAGCCATGAGCTTGTGCAGTTGGAATGGAGTGTAATAAGTCAAATGACTTACAACTGCTTGCCACTATGATGGGATATCCAATTCTATATACGGAGCGAGGCACAAATCTGATTGTTACACTGGAAATGTAACTAGCCCGAAAGTGCCGGGAGAAAATCTTTGGAACTAATGAATGCGTTCAAAATTTGAACGGGCGGAGCAAGTCTTTGAAAACCTTGAGAAAATAGGGTACTCGGATGTTCCAAACAATTGAAAGGAAACTCATTTCCACGAGAAGGTAATTGGCTCGAAAGTACCAGTTAACATGGATTGCTCGGTACTACAGCAATAGACAGAACAATTCTCAAATGATACTTATGCAGAAAATGCCAAAGTCACTGCTCGAAACTACTGGATAAATTTTCTCCCGGCTACACAACTTATACAATGACCATATATAGAAGTAAAACAAAACTATTTGGAAGTGTCATGTGAAAAGTTAGACTCTGAAGTGTCGAAGCTAATAGAGAATGATTCAAAGGAGTTTGGCTCGGCAGTACCAGAACAAAATGAGCAGCAGTTCCGAGAATGTAATGGTTTGCTAGGCTAGGGTATAGGCTTTGTGGTACCGGTAAAGAAAATGTTGTGGTGCAAAGGCTTGGCAAAAATTGGTCTCAAGTGAAGTATCTTCGCAACGAACACAAATATGCAAACAAAACTTAATTGAACCTTCCGGTTCAAAAGATGTAACAGATACAAATGAGGAGATAAAAATGAATAAGCATGGGAGGTGGGGTCTGGGGTGGGTGCCCCAAGCAACTCTGCCCAAAAGCTACATGCATGAACCCCAATTCAGCAACTAAAGCTAAATAATACTACTATAAAGTACTACTCCCTCTTTCTCAATTTACAGGGCGTGCGCGTACTCCTAGGTTGTCAATTTGCCTAACCTAATTTCAAGTTATATATTACAAAAAATATACCAATATAAACTTCAGATGTTCTATTTTTAAAAGGTATATTTTTTTATGTTATACAGTTTATATTAGGGTGATAAAATTGGCAACTTAGATATATGCATAGGACTTGTAAACTGAGACGAAGGGAGTAGTGCAAAAATCTTAAAACAAACGTGCGGCCGCATACATGCGGAACGAGCATGGCATCATATGTGCCTATTACATGATGAACACGTATTTATTGGACGTCGTCACACTCTCTTGGGTACGTACCATCATACGTACGATGGAATCCAATTATATATACTGAACACAAGGAGCAACACACACACACAAACACACATCAGGTCTAGGCTGCTTCCACCTGCAGTAGTCGCAGCGTACGTGTGCGTGCACGCTTGGTTGATTAAGCGGCACCGCCTCTCGTGTCTTCGCTGCCGTCCACTATAACTGGTGCCAGAACATACATATACACATAAAGTACGCGCGTTAGACGCAACTTAACTTAATTTTATGGAAGAATGGATGGACGTAACGCAACGCAGATTAAGGAGGAGATCCATTAGTTGGTAGCTTTGCTGACCTGTGTTGGTGAGAAGAAGGTTGGAGCTTTTGCAACGGCGCGGGCATGTTGCGCTCCATGTAAACACGCAGCAGCAGTCCCGCGCGCACGACGTTCTGGCGGCGTCACCGGAGCCGTGCTGTTCGAGGCAGCCGGAGAGGCAAAGGCTCTCGTCCTCGTCGTGGCAGCAGATCTTCTTTCTGTCACCACCAGTGGCGGCGGCCTCTGCTTGGGCCGGTGGCAGCAAGCCGGAGGGCACTGTGGAACATTTTCCATCAAATTCAGCTGACATCCTTTTTAGGAGAAGACTATCTCTAGATTTGGCTTAACACTAACAGTGGAACAATATGTGTAACGGTGTGAATGATGTTGATTAACCTGACTCCTGACAAGATTTACTGGGCCTTTGAACAGTATGGATGAAGTTAGCGCAAATTAAGGTGGAGCTCGATCGGCAGCTTGCTTACCTGCAGCATGGTTGGTGAACGTGAGGCTGGAGCTTGTGCAGCGAGGCGGACATGTTGAGTCCATGGTGAGCACACAGCAGCAGTTGTCCGCGCACCATGTTCTGAGCTTGGGGGTGGAGCTGCCGTGGGTGCAGAAGGAGAAGCAATAGCTCGCTTCCTTGTCGTGGCAGCACACCTTCCGGTGATCGTCGTCGTCGTCGTCGCCAGGGTCAGCGGCCGCCTCTGCTTGGACCTGTGGCAGCAAGGTCCCTAGCACGAGGACCGCACCCAGGACCAGGAGGAGGATCACACTCCTCTTGCCTTCCATCTCCATGGAGTGCGTGCAGCTCAGGCTCACACACTAGCTCACAGAGAGATAGATGGAGGAGCGCTGTTGATCGGTCCTACTTATATAGGAGATGAGCGCGGGCGTACGCACCGTTCGTGCATCTGATTGGTGGATGAGTATGCAATGCATGCAAGGTACATACGGCTGCACAAAAGCTAGTCATGTCATGTCTCCATCAACATAAATGTGCGTCGACTGGGAGTGAATACTCGGACGTATTTGTAGGTAAACTCCTACCTACTCATGTGCACTCCCTTGTGTTTTTTCAGTAGTTTGAATTGCTTCGATTGTACTGTGTTTAAAAAATAAAGTTTGAATTGCTTACCACATGTGTATATGTCAATTCCTCCAGCAAAACTGTTGTGACAAAATATCACATCTCTTAAAACCCGCTATAGCGAACTACTGTACATGATTTGAGACATTGCTTAGAACGCAATAAATTAGTTGTAAACAAGTTGGAGAACTAGCAATGTTGGGGGCATTCTGGGTTCCTCGTAAGCACACACCATCACCTCTCCGCGCACGCGAGAATATCTGGTGCAAACAATTTAGCACTGAAATTTCTTTGGTACAACCCCTGGAAACATCAACAGTCCAGATCGTCCTATACCTCTTCACCTGAAAACTTAAAAAAGGGTAGGATGGTCATTACCCCTTCCCCTCCCCCAGCCCCGCCCCCGCGACGTACCCGCGTGGCCCGTCGACGTACGTACGTGTACGCGCGTCCGACGGCGTTTTTTTACTGTGGTGACATACGTCTTTTTTACCGCGTCGGTGGTCAATCCGCTCGTCGGTTGGTCAATCCGCGCGTCGCCCGGTGAAAGCGCGTCGTGGCGCGTGAACTGCGGCCCGCCGCCCCGTCCCGTCCGTCCCCTTGCCGCCCCGTCCCCTCGTCTGCCGCGCCGCCGCCCTCGACTGCCGGCCCGTCCGGCCGTCGAATTAGTTGCCCAACCACCCGCCCGTCGCATTTCATACCCGTCTGCCCGCTGCCCCGCCGTCTGCCCTATAAATCGCACCCCCGTCCGCCCGTCGCCGCAAACACCACTCCTCCCCCGACTCCACCTCCCAAAAGGCCGCCGGCGACATGTCGTTCCACGGCGGCAGTAGCTCCGGCACCGGCGGCGACGACGGACCGAGCGCATGGCCGTCGAGCCTGAGCACGCCGGAGACAGAG